TATGTTTTTATCTCTTTTTCCCTTATGTGCTTTTTTATTTATATATAGACGAAATGATATGATTGGAATTTACATGAAAATAATCTACTGTGTTAAAGTGGGAGAGGAGAGGGTATGTATGAGCAGATGGTAATAGATGAAACAAGATTGGTCATGAATTGATAATGGTTCATTCTGGGTGGTGGATGGAGACATCAGGTTCATTTTATTTTTTCCCCTTCTAAGTATGTTTCAAATTTTCAATTAAAAAATGTACTTGTATTTTTATTGGAATCTTGTTAAGCTTGTAGAATTACTTGGACAAAATGAACTTGCTTCTTTCGTTCATTCCATATTGTAAAGATCATTGATTTTTGTTTTGTTGTTGTTGTTGGTGAGACAGAGTCTCACTATGTGGCCCTGGGTAGAGTTCTGTGGTGTCACAGCTCACAGCAACCTCAACTCTTGTGCTTAAGTGATTCTCTTGCCTCAGCCTCCCAAGTAGCTGGGACTACAGGTGTCTACCACAACACCTGGCTATTTTTTGTTGCAGTTGTCATTGTTATTTAGCTGGCCTGGGCCGGGTTCGAACCTGTCACCCTCCATGTATGTGGCTGTTGCTAACCAGTGTGCTACGGGTGCTGAGCCAGATCATTGATTTTTTTTTTTTTTAATGGCTACATAGCAGTCAGTAAGATGCATGAGAGCAAGATAGCATGAGATTTCACTACATTACTCAGTCCATAGTTTTAAAATTGTGAATTGTTTATTTCTGGACTATTCCATTTAATACACTGAACCATGGTTGACTGCTGGTAACCTAAACCTGGGAAGTCAAACTGTGAATAAATGGTGACTACTGTATGGATTTAAAAAAATTTTTCTCTAACAATTAGTAACCACTAGTAGTATTTACTCTGAAGTATAATTTGGTAGGTCAAATCTGTTTATTTTTACCATGTTAGTAATGCTTCTGTCCATATTCTTGTTGGCCTTATATTTTTCTTCTCAGATTTTGATAATTGCTGTATTAGGTTTATATTTAAAAGACTTAAATCTTTCAAATCATTGCTAAGATAAAAACCCAAAATTTATGATGGTGAGTTATTTTCAAATAAAGTTCTAGTATTAGAACTTCTTTTTTTTTTTTTTTTTTTTATGCATCATCAATTTTATTCCCGATGCGGGACAGATTCTTTCCATCCCCCACATTAATCACATGCTGTCCTGGAAAGACCTAGGAAAGTCTCCCAGCATCTCCAGGAAAGGAGTGGGAAGGGCAGATGCTGGAGACTGAAAGGCTTTGCAGTTCCCCAGCCTACTTATCCTCCCCTTCTCAATAGAGGATAGCTGTTCCCCACTATTACTCCCCTCATCCCTTAACAAACAAAACGCCTCAGTATTGAGGAAGAAGGGTCCAGGGCTGCGACTTGAGATTCTGAGCCACCAATATAGGAGGGAGGGGAAATGGGAGGAGCCATCACTGTTTCTGCTGCAGGGCTTCCTTTCTTGCTGCATCCTGTAGCAACTGTGTGTCCACCTCATCTGCTGGCAACTGCACATAGCGGACTACTCAGCCCCGTATGAAGCAGTTCTTCACTGATAACATGTGAGGATATTTCTCAGGGTCTGTAACACTGATGTCAGTTAGTTTGATGTTGAGATACTGATCCACGGAGTGGAGGGTTCCACAGATGCTTAGGTCATTCTTGAGTTCCACGACCACATCCTTGCCCACAAGGGACTTGAAAAAGGAATAGAAGCGCATGGTGCTGGCACCGCGGCTTGCGGGCCGGACCGGGAAGAGGACTGGATGCTGCGGGTCGGAGACCAGGAGGGTACAGGAGCGCGAGCCCGCACGGGGGTGGAGTGGGGCCGTGCAAGTGCAGCGGTAAACGCAGCGGAACGTACCAAAAACTGGAGACCAGAGCCTGGCTGCAGCCGCTGGCTCAGAGAGGTATTAGAACTTCTGACAATCAAAAGTATGATTTTTGAAGAAAAAAATGATTGGAATGCTGGTACTCACATGGGATTATTAAACTCATGCTCCAGGGATGCCGAAGACTTCCTTAAGATTAAAAATAATAATAAAAATACATACCAATTAATTTTTGCTGTGGGAAAACTGTATTTTAAAAAGAAAATAGGTGGGTGGTGCCTGTGGCTCAGTGTGTAGGGCACCGGCCCCATATACCGAGGTTGGTGAGTTCAAACCTGGCCCCGGCCAAACTGCAACAAAAAAAAAGCTGGGTGTTGTGGCAGGTGCCTGTAATCCCAGCTACTCAGGAGGCTGAGGCAAGAGAATTGCCTAAGCCTGCGAGTTGGAGGTTGCTGTGAGCTGTGTGATGCCACGGCACTCTACCCAGGGCAAGAAAGTGAGACTCTGTCTCTTAAAAAGGGGGGGAAAAAAGAAAATAGGAAACATGATGGGCTTCTGACTTTACTACAATCTTTAAACTCTTATTGAGGAGTAATTAATAATTAAACTCTATTACTGAGAGTAATTAATAATTCATTTGAACAATACTCAAGTAATCTAAGAATTGATTGCTTTTTCAAAAGTCTGTCAGTTGTCTTTAGATGAAGTGATGGTATTTAGTGGCATAGTAATCCCAGATATACACTATGAGTTTAATTATTAATTACTCCTCGATAAGAGTTTAAAGATTATAGTAAAGTCAGGAGTCCATTGTGCTTCTTATTTTCTTTTTAAAATACAGTTTTCCCACAACGTAAATTAATTGATGAAGTGATGGTATTTAGTGGCATAATAATCCTGGACATACACTATGAAATTTTGGTAGTAAAGAAATTGGGATATTTAAGTACCTTAGTGATATGAGCATCTCCGTTCTTTGGGTGTTAGAACTGCATGATCATAGCCCTGCTCTCTTTGGATTACTGTTTTATTGCTTAAGCAGCAAGGAACCTACTTGGTGTGGAGCAACACCATGAAAAATTATGGTAGAAAAACGCTATAGGAAAAAACTACTTTAGAATGAGACAGAGATTTGAAAACAGGTTAACATTCTTGAATTTCTCTGAGCTTTGGTTTAGTCATCTGTAAAACAGGCACAGAGCACCTTCTACTTAGGGTGCTCTGAAGATTAAACGCAATTATGAATGCAATACATTTGGCACTGGCTGGATACATTCATTGCTTTTATCTACTGCTACAAGTAATTGAATATTTGCCATATCATGTTAGAATTAGTAGTTAACATAACAACAGTTAACATTTAATGAGTACCCTACTGTGTACCTACTGTGTACATTTTAAAAGTACATTAAAAGCATTTTAAAAGTTTACATGTGGCTCGGTGGTGCTGTAGCTCAGTGGTTACAGTGCCACTCACATACACTGGAGCTGGTGGGTTGGAGATCTGCCCAGGCCTGCTAAACAACAATGACAACTACAATAAAAAAAAAAAAAATAGCCAGGCATTGTGGTGGGCGCCTGAGGTCCCAGCTACTTGGGAGGCTGAGGCAAGAGAATCGCTTGAGCCCAAGAGTTGGAGAAAGCTGTGAGCTGTGACACCACAGTACTCTATTGAGGGCAACAAAGTGAGACTCTGTCTCAAACCCCCCTGCAAAGTTTATCTGTTTTTCTGTTTATCTTCACAGACTCTGAGGGGTAGGTTTTGTTAGCTTCATTTTATAAGGAAACTGGTGGAGGAAAGTTAATTAGCTTAAATGGGAATGTATGTTAGGCAGTAATGAGGAATTGCTGCTCTGGGCAAATATATTTTATAATATATTTTATTAAGTCAAATACACGTAGATCATGAATACATTCATGCATATGTGGGGTACAATGTGCTAATTTTTTTATACAATCTAACATGGTTACATTAAGCCAATCAACATAGCTTCACCTCATTTACTCCATTATTGTGCCAAAACATCTGTTCTACATTTCACAGATTTAACTTGTACCCTTGTTATATGTTCCATAGGTGTAATCCCTCCTTTTACCCTCCCTCTGTCGAACCCCCGTCCCCTCCCCTCCCACTCCGTATCTCTTCATCATCCTGGACTACAGTTGTGTTCTATTTTTACAAGAAAGTGTGAGTAAATATAAGTAGGTTTCATAGAAGTACTGAGTACATTGGATACTTTTTCCTCCATTCTTGAGATACTTTACTTAGGAGGATATGTTCCAGATCCCTCCATGTAAACATGAAAGAGATAAAGACTTCATCTTTTTTTAAGGTTGCATGGTATTCCATGGTATACATATACCACAATTTATTAATCCATTCGTGGGTCGAGGGGCACTTGGGCTTCTTCCATGACTTGGCTATTATGAACTGAGCTGCAATGAATAATCTGGTGCAAATATCTTTTTTTTTTGAGACAAAGCCTCAAGCTTTTCCCCTGGGCAGAGTACTGTGGCATCACAGCTCATAGCAGCCTCCAACTCCTGGGCTCCAGTGAGTCTGCTGCCTGAGCCTCCCAAGTAGCTGAGACCACAGGCACCCGCCACAACGCCTGGCTATTTTTTGGTTGCAGCCATCATTGTTGTTTGGTGGGCCCAGGCTGGATTCGAACCCGCCACCTTAGGTGTATGTGGCTGGCGCCTTAGCCACTTGAGCCACAGGTGCCGAGTCACAAATATCGTTTTTGCTAAGTAATTCTTGGTCTTTTGGATATACTCCTAGTTGAGGAATTGCAGGATATATTTTATATTTATATGTTTTATGTATGTATATATTTTATATTTGGTTATTTATATTTTAAATAATCACATCTATATTTTGTTATGAGAGATAAAGGAAAATGTGATGAATCAGAAACATGATATGCTGAAAAACTGCTTATTCTTAAATTTGTCTGAAATATTCATATTTCATATATTCATCTTATTAAGAGAATCTCTTTTGTTGAGTGAGAGGATCACAATTTGCGTGGAACCCTTGCTCTTTCACTTGAAACATTTTTCAGAGGTAAATAATTTCCCAGTCTTCTCTTACAACATAGTTTTAGTACCATATTTGACAGTGTTTATTTGTTTTCCATAGGGTCGGAATCTGGCAGATCTTCGCCGTAGCCAGTCCCGGGGCACATTTACCATTAGCACTACTCTTCGGCTGGGTAGACAGATTTTGGAGTCTATTGAAAGCATCCATTCTGTGGGATTCTTGCACCGAGACATTAAACCGGTAGGGGCCTTTTCCAGAAGAGCAAAGAATGAGTTTGGTACTCTTAATGTTATGATCAGACACAATAAATTACAATGTAGCTTTCTGTATTTGCTGTGGTTAAATACAAGGTATTATTTTTGTTTCTGTAGAGGGCTGGAAGCAAAAATATAACTTACCTCTTAATGTTTTTAAAGTGAAAACTACAAACTACAACTTTTTCAAGAGCTTTCTCACACACTGAAAAATTGCTTGGCAGCCAGATTAAGAATGAGGCCAGGTGTGGTGGTGGGAGCCTGTAGTCCTAGATGCTCAGGAGTCAGAGGCAGGAGGATCACTTGAGCCCAGGAGCTAAAGCTTCCTTGAGTTGTGATCTCAGATACCTGTGAATAACCACTGTACTCCAGCCTAGGCAACATAATGAAACCCCATCTTTAAAACAAAATAAAGTATAGACTGGGTGCAGTGGCTCACATCTATAATCCTAGCACTCTGGGAGGCCAAGGCAGGTAGATTGCTTCAACTCACCAGTTCGAGATCAGCCTGAGCAAAAGCGAGACCTTATCTCTACTAAAAATAGAAAAACTGAGGCAAGAGGATCGCTGAGCCCGAGTTGGAGGTTGCTGTGACTTATGATGCCATGGTACTCTACCCAGGGCGACAGCTTGACACTCTGTCTCAAAAAAAAAAGTATATGTACTGTGTGTGTGTATATCTACGTATATTTCAGAATACACACATTTGGGTTGCATAGTTTGCTTTTGTATATTTGAAGTCAAAATTATAAGTGTGCCCTCCACCCATGATGTGTGTGATGTTTCTCTTAGGTGTGAATTTACACATCCTTCCTCCCACCTACTTGAATTCCATTGAGTTTTTCTTCAATATGGGCACATAATTATTGATCAACTAGTTCTAATTTAGTATTGAGTACATATGGTGTTTGGTTTTCCATTCTTGTAGTCCTTCACTTAGGAAAATTGTCTTCAGTTCCATCCAGTTTGTTACAAAAGGTACTAGATCAAAAAATATATATACTTGACTATTATTATTATATGTATTAACATTGCTAATTAATTGCCTTGTGCCTAAATGGTAGTTATTCTTTGGATTTCTTTTTTCTGATATGGTTTAAAAAGTATTTATGTTCCGTTTAGATGTTTGCATTGTGTTCTTTGAACTATTTCTCTAGTTACACATTATATTTATAAGAAATCATCAATTGTGAAAGACTTTATTTTTCTCCTGAGTGCTACTGTGGTTTTTTGCTATTCTGCTTTTCTTAGAAGTTGTCATTTCTGTAACTGTGAAATACGCTTTTTTTCTTCTTTGATTTTTTATTCATGAGGAGAAATGACCCATTTCTGATATGCTGTATTTACTATAAACATATTATACACTGGTACATTGACAAGTATAGCCATCTGTTGTTACATGATTTCTAAAATTAGTTTAAATGAAAATGCCAACTAAATCTAACATGGTAGAGTCAGATTTAACGTAAGTGTCATTATTTGAGAATCAAGGTGATTGAAGAGGTTCCATTTTTATCAGAAAGCTCTTTATGTAAAACAGTGTTTTAAAAGGAATGCTAATAATTCTGTAACAGTTTGGCTTTTGCCTTCACAAATCCTCTTACATATCCATCTTTGCAAATTTATAGACATTAGACATTACATAGATTTTCATTAAGGGAAGAATGCAAAGTGTATTTTCCTTAAGTCTGTTTTAAAATGTTTCCTTAAGTTGTATTTAAATTTTATACTTGGCAAAATTCAGCTTTACCATGCCTATAAGAACTTCCTTTAAAATTTTTTGTATATATACTATATTTTATTTATGTGTGTATTTTTTCTCATCTTTAAAAAGTAGAGATTGAGTTGTCATTTAAGCAGTGACTTAGACTTGCTGCTGTCTTGTGTGTAAATTTATGCAACCATTTAATTTGTTTTTTGCGTTAAGTTTACCTGATGCTGGGCATTAATAGAATCCACTATGTAAATTATGCATTAATATCTAATAAGCATCATTGACTAGAATAGTATATATGGAACATGTGTGTTCGATGAAGTTTAAATAGAAGAGGAATTGAACTATAAGAAGAGTAAGATAAAAGGACTAAGTATTATAAGAAAGTATAGATTTTCCTTCTTTGCTTTTCTAGTCGAACTTCGCCATGGGTCGCTTTCCTAGTACATGTAGGAAATGTTACATGCTTGATTTTGGCTTGGCTCGGCAGTTTACCAATTCCTGTGGTGACGTCAGACCAGTAAGATTTTTCATACTATTATTAAATATTTGATAATTAGCCTGTTATTTATAGTATACTTTTAAAAGAAATGGTAATTATGTATGAGAATGGATGTTATCCAAGAAGTGGCATATCAAGTTTGTGATTAAATTACGGAATGAAATTAATAAATTTTACCACTGAAATTTTTGGCTTAAAAAAAATGTATATTATGGCTTGGCTTCTGTAGCTCAAGCGGCTAGTGGCTGGAGCCGGGGAGTTCTGAATCCAGCCTAGGCTTGCCAAACAACAATGACAACTACAACCAAAAAATAGCAGGGCGTTGTGGTAGGTGCCTATAGTCCCAGCTACTTGGGAGGCTGAGGCAAGAGGATCGCTTAAGCCCAGGAGTTGGAGGTTGCTGTGAGTGTGATGCCATGGCACTTTACCCAGGGCAACGGCTTGAGATTTTGTCACAAAAAAAAATGTATATTAGAGGTACGTTTACAGTGGTGTTGGAAGAACATACATTGACCCTTTGGAATGAAGGGTCTTTTTTGCAGTATGAGGTCCTTCCTTTGTATTACAGTTTTTCTGTTTCAGTTATTATACTTTTCAATTTCCAAAATTTCCATTTGGTCCTCTCTATTGATATTCTCTGTTTGATGAGACCTTCTCATCATACGTTTACCTCTTTAATCAAACTTCCCTTTAGTTTCTTTCTTTCTTTTTTTTTTTTGAGACAGAGTCTCAAGCCGTTGCCCTGGGTAGAGTGCCATAGCATCACAGCTCACAGCAACCTCAAACTCCTGGGCTTAAGAGATCCTCTTGCCTTAGTCTCCTAAGTAACTGGGACAACAGACGCCCACCCCAACGCCCTGCTATTTTTTGGTTGTAGTCATTGTTGTTTGGCAGGTCTCAGGCTGGATTTGAACCTGCCAGCTCCAGTGTATGTGGGTGGCACCCTAGCTGCTGAGCTCCAGGCACCACGCCTCCTTTAGTTTGTTGAATGTACTTATTATATTAATAGAACAGCTACTTTGAAATCTTTTCCTGTTAAATCCAGTATCTGATCATTTCCATAGGGAGTATCTGTTGCCAGATTTTCTCCTTGATGTATGGGTCATAGAATCCTGTTTCTTTGCATGCCTTATGATTTTTTTGTTAGAAACTGGACATTATAGATAAAATATTACAGCAACTGTGGGTACTGGTCCCCTGCTTCGAGGGCTTATTATTATTGTTTATTTAGTAATTGACTAAATTATTTTATTAAAGTCTGCCTCCTCCCTGCCTCCCACATAAACACAGTTTAAGTTTTCTGTTATAGCTCCTCACAGAGGTACATCTTTGGGTATGCCCACAGTCGCTCTGGAATGACAGTGGTAATGTTAAGGCTTACTGCTGCTCTTTCTCTGAACATACCCAGCTGTTAAATTCTACTCATTGCAAGCCAGTTGCTCTATTCTATTCTATTCTATTATTTATTTATTTAGACAGTGTCTCACTTTGTTACCCTTGGCAGAGTGCTGTGGTGTCACAGCTAACAGCAACCTCAAACTCTTAGGCTTAAGTGATTTTTTTGCCTCAGCCTCCTGAGTAGCTGGGACTACGGGTGCCCACCACAGCACCTGGCTATTTTATGGTTGTCATTTTTGTTTTAGCAGGCCCAGGCTGGGCTTGAATCTGCCAGCTTCAGTGTATGTGGCCAGCACTCTTGTTATGGAGCTCTGGGTACTGAGCCCCAGTTGCTCTATTATTGATGGGAATATTCTGGGGCATAAATTCTTTGACAAACTAATCAAATTGTATCTCCTAAGATGGAATAATTTCTGAGTTCAGTGTTGGTATTTATTTGCTTTGACCTCAGGAGAGCTGTCTTTTCCTCCCCCTTTCTCTCCTGCCCAGCCTATAATCTATATCTTCATTAAATTTTTGAATCTCTTCCCAGTTTCGTTCACTACAACCTCTACTATATTTGAGAGGGCTCTTAGGTTTGTTAAAAGAAAAACTTCAGTGTTGTGAAAGTGCCTGGAGTCCCAGGTATTTGGGAGGCTGAAGCAAGAGGATCTCTTGAGTCTAAGAGTTTGAGGTTGCTGTGAGCTGTGACTGTACAGCACTCTACTGAGGGTGACAGAGTGAGACTCTGTCTCAAAAAAATAAAAAAAAAACTTTAGACAAATTAAATTTTTTAAAATTTCAGATTAATATGAGGGTACAAACTATGAGGTTACACTATGTCTATTAGGTAAAGTCTAAGTTGTACTCGAGCACCTCACCTGGGGTATACCATATACCCCTATGTTATGTCCATTAGGTGGAAGCCTACCACACCCCTTCCTTCCCCCTCTCCTCACTTGAATTTAATTGTCTTTTTCTTTTGTGTGGGCATGTAGTTGTTCATCTACTGGTTTCATATTAGTATTGAATAAATTGATACACCCTTTTCCATTCTTGTGAAATTTTACTAAGGTAAATGTTTTTCAACTCCATCCAGGTAAATACAAAAGATGTAAAGTTGCCATTTTTTTTGGCTGAATAGTATTCCATGGTATACATATACCATAGTTCATTAATTCATTCATGGGTTGATGGGCACTTGGGTTGTTTCCACAACTTGGCAATTGTGACTTGAACTATAATAAACATTTGAGTGCAGATACCTTTATGGTAAAATTATTTTTTTTTTCTTCTGGGTAAATCCTTCGTATTGTAGATAGGGGATTGTAGGATCAAATGGAGGTCTACTTTTAGCTCTTTGAGGATTCACTATAATTCTTTTCAAAAAGGCTGCATTCCCACTAACAGTGTATAAGTGTTCCCTTGTCTTCACACTCACATCATCTGCAGCTTTGGGATTTTGTACTGTAGGCTAATTTCACTGAGGTTAGGTGGTATCTCAAGGTGGTTTTGATTTGCATTTCTTCAATAATTAGGAATGATGAGTGTTTTTTCATGTGTTTATTGTTCATTCTAGGCAAATTAAATTTAATAGAATTAATTGAGCAAAGATTGATTCTTGAATCAGTCAGCCCCCAGAACCAGAATCGGTTCAGAGTAACTCCAGGGCTGCCATGTGATTGGATAACATTTATGGACAGAAAAAGGAAAGGGACATAAAGAAAATGGAAGTCAGCTGGATTGGTTGCAGATGGGTGTTTGCCTTATTTGAACCTGCTGTGAACAGTTGGCTGCCTGTGATTGGCTGAAACTTGGCTATTAAGTGTGGGTTACAGTTTCTTTAGGCCACTGTTCCCTATGTATGGAGAAACCGTTAGGCCAGACTTAAAATATATACAAAGGCAACTTGAGGGCAAACTTAATTTAATAATGTTGAGAGGTTGACCAAAACTTTAAGCATTGATGGTTACTCTATTTCACTATTATAAGTGGAATTATTTAGTCTCAGAATGTGATTTATGAAAGTCTTATTTGGTCTCAGCTCCTGTTTTGGCATCTATCTGCTTCCTTAAAATTTTGGTTGTATGAAATTAATTTGTCTTTTCAATCATGATTATGGCTGAAATAATTTTCCCATATTGTACTAATATAGAATCAAAAATTATCTTTGTAGATTTTTGTCATATTGTACAATTTTGTTTATTTGATTTTAGGAAACTTGAATTATATTGTTTGGATAAACAAAGTAAAAATATAAGTATAATTTATTTGGGGTAGTAAAATGGGTTATGAGAAAGAAATAAAGCAGGGTAAAAGAACAGAGTAGTATTATAGATGGGGGAGTAGTATTTTAGATTAGGATAATTAAGGAATATTTCTTTGAGAAGGTGACATTTGAGCAGAAGCCTTAATATTAAGTAGAAGAGTTAGCCAGTGGAGGCAATGCAAGGAGATGGCATTCCAACTTGAAAGAATAGTGTGCAAAATTTTGAGCTAGAAATAAAATTCGTTATAGGAGAAACCAGAATAAATTCATTGTTGAATTAGACAAATGCCAGATCTGGAAAGTCTTGTACACCAAATAAAAAGTTTGGACTTTAAGTTGAGTTCTCTGAGGGCTAGAATCATGTATTATTCATGTTTAACTTTATTCCCAGTACCTGGAATCTATTAAGTACCCAAAACTTGAATTTTTAATAAACTAATTACATATATTGGTAGGGTACAAGTTACTGCCACCTCTGAATTGAGTTTAATGAAACAAAACAAAGATATGAAAAGATTAGCATGTTAGGTTAGTGATTTTTCATGGTTTCAATATATTTATTTATATCCAGAGCTTGAACATTAATATATGTACTATGTTGCTTGGCATAATTCTGGATATATGTAAGCATTTAGTGTCTTATAATACATATATGTCAAAAATGCCACTGTATTTTAAAATTAGATAGGAAAAAACAGAACTGAAACAAAATTAAGTATAATAAATGTTACAATTGGTTTTTTTTGTTTAGAGTTTTTGGTTTTCTAAAGTTAGAGAAATTAAGATAGTGTTTTACTGTGATAATAATGAACACATCTACCATTTATTTCATGGGCTCAAGTGTGCTGAATCTATTGTTATTTGAAGCATATTTATTATTCTTTACTTGGCTTTGTTGTAGCCTCGAGCTGTGGCAGGCTTTCGAGGGACAGTTCGTTATGCATCAATCAATGCTCATAGGAACAGGGTAAGTATCTAAACCAGAGTGGTATCTGCATAAGCATGCTAATGGCTTAAGTCGTTTGAGCTCTTTACTTTAGAGTATGAAGGTATGGAAAATCCTTAAGAGTAGAGGATTCTCTTTATTGCTACAAAGTTACTTGGAATGATTATTCTAATTTACTTTTTTGTGTGTAACACTGATGGTAAAGGAGTTTATAATACTAATTCATGGTAAGGTATATATTGTATCCACAGTTACATAGAAAATAAAATTGAATTTGCCTGAAAAAATAATAGCTAAGTATCATTTGTCTATAGAAAATCAGTCCTTAAATTAAGTAGAAGTGAGTATTGTTAACACATTTAAAATAGAATTTTGAAGAGATAGAACAACTGTGTTGTAGTTCAAGAAGTTATTTGGGAATGTAATTGCTATATATACCTAATGAAATGTAGAGGGGTCATCATTTTATCTGTAGTATGTAATCTGTGATATACTCCTTCCCTTCAAACCTTTTGTTTTCATGAAGATCTCAAGTTACAGACAACTTACAAAGTTTTGTTTTAGTGAATTATCCCTTTCCTCTTGGGTTAAATTTTAAAAATCTCTTTCTCTGTCCCCCTTCCCCAGCTTCTTCTCTTCCTCCCTCAGTCTCCCCCTCATCTCTTCCACTTCTCTCCTTTATTACCTCAGTCCTATTGTTCTGTTCTGATTTTTCCCCCTCATCCTGGACCTTAATTATGACTAGGAAAGGTGGGCATTATATGAATTCTCAATCCTTGAACTTGTTTGCAGGAGTTAAGTTTAACAAGTGATTCCTTGAGAAAATAAGAGAAATCTTTTCTTTGTACTTTTTTTTTTCAAACTTGTTCCTGTTCTGTGAAACTAGAATTGCTTTAATGAGAATTTAATTAGTGCTGAATGTAATAGGATTAGTATGTTGTGGTCTATATATATATAGAGTATATATATATACTTTTGTATGAACTCCCTTTTCTTTTTTTATTAAATCATAGCTGTGTACATTAATACAATTATGGGGTATAGTGTGGTGTTTTCATATACAGTTTGAAATATTTTCATCAAACTGGTTAACATAGCCTTCATGTGATTTTCTTAGTTACTGTGTTAAGATGTTTATTATATTCTACTTTTAGAAAGATTCACTTGGCTCGGCGCCTATAGCTCAACC